TCTTATCTATATACAATTATATAATATTCATATGGTATATAACAATAAAAATAAGTATTCAAAGAGATTTCTTTTTCTTTGTAACAAAGATCGGTTCTTTCAAGCTAATAAATTTGACTCTATTTTTTAATGAATCGATATTTATGTACAAGAAAAAAAATTTATTGAAACTTCCTTAACTGTACGGTATCACTATAGATGAAACTTTATTTAATTGTTAAAAGTCATAGTTCATGTTTCAATACAATACGGAATACATCGGAAATAAATTCAGACAAAATTAGAACACTGAAACCAAAAATAGATTTGTAATCAAAAAAATATTGAGTGTGCAGTATGTGGCAGATTTCAAATGAGTATTAAAAAAACAATACAAGTCAACTTCATCAGCCTATCTCTGAGACACTTAGCAAAAAAATTTTATGAAAGAAAAGAAAGTCCTATTCAATCTGTCAGCTGAGATAGACTAAAATTTAATCAAACTTAAAGATATTTTTCTATGATTGCTCTAGTGCAAATACGTCACACTTTATGCAGTATGTTGTTGCATTTCTTTTCAACTATCTTCTTTGTTGTCACTCTTATTTCCTATCTTGGAACGTCAGGTACAACTAGGAAATTCTGTACTGAAACTGTTTTTTTCAAACAACATTTAATAAACATGAGTTTACAAGAAGAAATCTATAAACAATTTGCTTTATAGATTATACATGTCCTCATCATCAACTATTCAAACAGATATAACAGACGATGCTTTATTATCGACCAATCTTTCTGTGAATGATACTTCCGATTTTCCTGATTTATCTGCTGTGGGTTTCTCGTACACCTTTCAATTTTGGTACTTACTTGTATGTGAAATACCCTCACTTGCATGCTATTTATTTGTTTTTATCTATATTTTAACTGAAAAAACTCAGCGTCGAGCACTTCATAATCATTCAATGCTTGTTCTTCTAATTATTTGTTTTCCTATTGTATTATTTGACTATTCATGGACAATAGATAGTTGTCGTCGTGAAGGAGAAGTTTGGTTCCAAGGATCATTTTTATGTCAAGTTTGGTGGTTGTTTGATTATGGTTTTTATAATACAAGTGTTGTTATTCTAGCTTGGTCATCATTTCAACGTCATATTCTTATTTTTCATTCAAATCTAGTTTCAACAAAACGAAAACGATTATTTATTCATTATTTTCCTTTAACATTTATCCTAGTATATCTAACTATTTTTTATATCTATGTTATTTTCTTTCCACCCTGTGAAAATCAATATGATTTTACATCAGCTGTTTGTGGAGATTATCCATGTTATTTCACAGTACCGGTGTTAGCAATATGGGATAATATTGTTCATGGTCTCATATGTACTTTTCTAATTGCAATATTTAATATCACTTTGCTTATACGTATCATATGGCAAAAACGTCATCAACGTCCGAACTGGAAAAGATACCGAAAAATGGTTGTTCAATTACTTTCAATCTCTGCAGTTTATCTTTGTTTTAATACTGCACCATCAATTATTGTCACCGTACAAATGGCAGGTTATCCTGATTGGGGTGCTGATGTTTACAATTATTTTTTCTTCTTTACTACTTCGATTCAGTTTCTCGTTCCGTTTATATGTTTGTTACATTTGCCCAATAAATTCCGTAAGATCAGAAAATTAATTACAGGTAATCGTCGACGTGTCATGCCTGGAGTAATTGTTCGACCAATTCATCATTGATAATAGAAGATTTTATTCTGACGTCATGTATCAATTAATTTTAATCTATATTTTTATGTCAACTCTAAACTTATTATTGTTCTTCAAAAATGTAATTTTTCAAAAGCTCTCATAATGTCAAACATTTCTAGAGTTCACAATCAAAATAAAACTTGAATATATTATTTATCAGAATACGATAAATAACTTTGTATTCGTTTTATCCTTGAATGGGCGAATGAAATATCTTTATTCTGATGATAGATATTTGAAATAACAAAGATATCGAATGACACTACAAATGCTTCTAACTTATTTGTTAAAAAAAGTGAGACGTAATCCTCAAAAGAACTTCTTAGGGTTTTACTCTTATTAAAAAGAATCTTTTATCATTCCAAATCACTCGGAACGATCTTTCAATAGTATGCTATTACTATACAAAGCATTTTATGGCTCATTCTAATTGCAAACAATTCTCACGAGTTTTACTACTGCTATGCACAACTACAGACTAGTTTTGCACGTACTACTGAGTGACAAAATACTTCGAAAAACCCATATTTATTATTTTTCAAGACATCATCCTCTTACCACATACTGAAAAACATAAGAAAAATTTACCATCAGAATACACACGAACTTTGAAAATCAGTACTTTTATTTATTGTTTTTCTGAATATTACAAAACAAGAAAAATATACGCAACATCATCATCATCATCATTTTCTGTCTGTTCGTCATCGGAGTATTTGTAATATTTCTATTCACGATCACGACTGTCCTTTGCTTCTATTGCGTTCCAGAAATTCAGAGATTATATCATTAACTTCAGCTCCGATTCCATTGCCATCGAGATATAGCGCGGTGAGTGACTAGATGAAAAAGTGCAAGTAAAGAAATGATATAGACAAAGAGAGAAAGACAGTTACTGTGTTGTGATGTAATGCATCAGCCAAATATTGTGCACCAACATCTCCGATTTGATTACATTCGAGATTTAGTGTCGTGAGTGTCTAGATGAAAAAGTGTAAATATACACATGATATACATAAGGCAAGAGAGACACTTACTGTGTTATGTCGTAACCCATCAGCGAAATGTTGTGCTCCAACATGTCCGATTTCATTGTTCCAGAGACCTAGTTCGGTGAGTGTCTGAATGAAAAAATGTATGTAAAGACATGATATATGTTAAAGAGCATAAGACAGTTACTGTGTTGTGCCGTAATGCATCAGCCAAATGCTGTGCTCCACCATATCGGATTCTATTGTCCGCGAGATCTAGTGTGATGAGTGCCTAGGTGAGAAATTGTAAGTGTATACATAATATCGATAAAGAAAGTTACTGTGTTGTATCGCAGTCCATCAGCCAAATATTGCGCTCCAACATCTCCGATTTTATTACCCCAAAGATTTAGCGTAGTGAGTGCCTAGATGAAAAAGTGTAAGTAAACGCATGATATACATAAAACAAGAAGGATACTCACTGCGTTATGCCGTAATCCATCAGCTAAATGTTGTGCTCCACCATATCGGATTCTATTCCTTCCGAGATTTAGTGTGGTGAGTGTCTAGATGAAAAATTACAAGTGAACACATGATATAAAGAAAGAAAGAAAGCAAGACAATTACTGTGTTGTGTTGTAGCCCATCAGCCAAATG